CAAGTCACCACTTAACCTTCTCTTTGTTAAGTTAAATTGTTCCTAGATGAATACATTTACATTTAAGCTATATTAAAATGCATATTGTTTGCTTGACCCAGTTTACTAAGCGATCTAGATCTCTCTGAATCCGTAACCTGTCCTCTTCATTAATTACTACGCCCCCAATTTTTGTATCTGCAAACTTTATCTCTGAAGATTTTGTTTCTTCCATGTCATTGCCTCTTTTGGTTTTTCTCCGACTTTCAAGACCTATTATACCCTGGCAGAGGAGCCCCCATAACCAATTCTCGTGGATTCTGGGTACCTTTTCATGAAAGGTAAAGATGTGGAGGCAAAATCTACCTTATTACTGAAATTGGAGTTCAGCCTTACCTACGCTGTCACTACAGTGTCTGCAAAAGAACCCAACACCTTGATTTCTCTTTCAGATAAATAGTTTAAAAAATCTTGAGAGAAAAATAATTATCTTCAGGTCTATAAGGGACAACAACACATTAGAGAGAAACTGAGAACTGGGTCAGACTGACTCCGGGAACTAATAATGGCATGCTGACACTTGCTTTCAAACCCCTGAATTTAATCCATTCCATCCCAGTAGTGACTAAAAGCTGTTACCGGCTGGAGGTTGTTTTGTGCTCTGTGTGAAATGAGTTGGAGGGATGTCAGCCCATGTCCTTCTGGGCAGACAGACACATAACAAAATTCCACCACAAGATGGTTCAGTGGGGTGGTCACCCGCTCCTGCCCTGAAGGGCTTAAAACAGCTCTGGGAGAGGACTGTGGCAGGGCAAAGCAGCAAGCCTGGGCTGATTGGGGAAGCAGCCACAGTTGGGCCATGCCCCAATCAGGCCACAACTGGCCCTATAAAGGGGCTGCTAGGCTGGAGCTAAGAGAATCTCCTCTAGCTGTGGAAGGAGATGGACCTAGCTGCTGGGGAGCGTACCAGGGTACCTGAGGTGGAGCAGGGCTGGGGAAAGGCGAGAGGAGCTGGGGAGCTCCTGCCTGGCAACTCCCCAGGCTGTCGGCCTTGTGCAAGGCCAAATAGGTACTGGGGTTGCAGAGGGCAGCCCAAGGGTAGGCGGAGGCAGCCGGTCCAAACCCCCCTTGCCTGTGATGAATGGCTTGTACACTACAGTCTTCCCCAGTGAACGGGGGCTAGATGGTGACTGGCAATAGCCTTATACTGAGGCGAGGTGGGGCTAGTGGGTGGGGGTTCCCCTGGGTGGGGAGACCCAGAAACTGGGGGGGGTACCGCCATGGGGCAGCCCCCAAGAGAAAGGGGGTGCCGGGGTCCGGGAGGGACATGGGGGCTAGGAAAAGGTGAGACACCAGCTGACAGAGGGCGCTCCGGAGGATGGAAAGATAATTCCTTGGATGACCATCAGGGGGCGCCATGCCAGTGAGTCGTTGCTCTGTTACAATGGACACTTACTGTGACAGTTATCTGAGAAGCCATAGACCAAAAAGGACCAGAGGATGAATCACTTTCATGCTCGAAGAAGCAGTGTCCAGGTCTGGGCTGAGGCATATTGCTCTTTGAGGGAAGTTTGCGCTAATGCTGATGTGTCTGAGACTGGTCTGTGGCTTGAGGGACTGTCACTACCAAATTCACTGAAACTTGAGAACTAAAATGAAACCTGAAAACTGCCCTTCCCAGAGAGAGGAGATTCTCACCCCCTGTGGATATAAGGTGATAATTGTTTACAGAGGACTTTCTGGGGTTTCAGTGCTGTACTCTGCTCCTTTAGGGCTATGATCAGAGGACAAAGCTCACTGTTGTAAATTCAAGCCTATATCTGTTATTAATAGAATCAAATTGCCCATCCTGGGAAGTGGAAGCTTCTCTAATGCAGACACTTAGTTTAGAGACCCTTTCATTAGACTCTATTCGGGCCCGTCATTCTCTGCCTCTTCTAAAAACATAACTAGTAATAGGCCAATCTCTAAAAGGCTTTCAGATAAGATCCTCAGTCCCCCCAAGACTGGGATTCTCATCCAGAGCAAAATAGCCTGGAAATTAGGCATTGCTGGGAACCAGTTTTTCTGACCATTTTACTGTAAGGGTAGTCCTATTATTACTGATTATTATTAGCACTTCACATCTACAAAGAACTGTAGGAGCATAATCCTATATGGATCTACACAACCTCACAGTGACGTAAGTATGGTATTGTACCTGTGTCACAGATAGAGAAAATGAAGTTACTTACCAATGTCACCTGGGGAGTCGCTTTGGGAGTTGGGATTAGAATTTGGCAGTCCTAGCTCCTAGTCTTTGTCATCACAGTTGATTAGATTTCCAGATCCTAAGGGACCATTGTGATAATTTAGTCTGACTTCCTATATAACACAGGCCATAGAACCTACCCACAATAATTCCTAGAGCAGATCTTTTGGAAAAACATCCAATCTTGATTTTAAAATTGTCAGTGATGGAGAATCCACAGTGATCCTTGGTAAGTTGTTCCTATGGTTAATTACATTGTTAAAATTTTACACCTTATTTCCAATCCAAATTTGTCTAGTTTCAGCTTCCAGCCATTGGATCATGTTATAGCAATTGAGTCCTTTGTGATGAATTGGGGACATTACATATACTGGAATGGGACACAACTGAATGGGTTGGGCAAGCTGAGGCCAATGTAGAAGGAGAACTTCTCTTTTCACACACAAGGCTGGGGCAGGGAATGCATGGACAAGAAGGGAAGGGAGCTCAATAGGGTTCTGAGGAAAGGCCCCATTTTTCCAAGCTATATCAGAGACTGGGAGAGAACTTGCCCCATCCCGCAAGATGATGCGTGAGTTCTGTGAAGTTCTGAACAGCCTCTGCTTCCATTGACCTCAATGAGAAATGAAGTTGTTGAGCACCTTGCAGTTTCAGACTCTTGTGTCATGGAATTGCACTTGTGTAGCAAGGATTGCGTTGGGGTCAAATAGATGAAATTACCTGGGTAACCTCCAGGATATAGGAAAATGATAAAAGTGCTTTTTTGTGCAGTGAAAACTACTAAGACAGAGTGTAATCAGGGTAAGGAAATCAAGGTGTCACTGATTTCTAAAGAATTCTTTCCTCAGACTTTTCTGAATGGGATAATTTATCACCAGAGATTAATTGCACTGAATTATATTAGTACAATGAATGGCTCACCGCACTTGTCTCTTTTAATTCTCCTGAATCCATTTCATGCCACCCAAGCTGCCTCCCTGCTTGCCTCCTTTGTGCTTCTCCCACTTGTGCCTCATGCAGCCCCTCATATGCCTTGAAACCCCACCACCTCGACCCAATTTGCCATGCCTCCATCCTCTCCTCCGACTTTCCTCAGTACACATCTCTCCTGCAGGGAGGCTATCTACCTTTTAGTGCTTCTCCTCTCACTGCCCAGTACTCAGCAAAGAACTGAAAATAATAATTGCAAGATGGCGACAAACTAGTGATGAAAATCATGATACTTACACAACATGCTTAACTACACTATTAGTTTGAGTTACTTGTTGCCTGCCATAACTCCTCATCTTGCCTATGGATTGTCCATTTAGGTGTAGGCCCTCTGGAGCAGAGGCCTTGTCATGTTTACCTGTCTATAAAGTGTCTAGCACACTTGACACTATACAAATAATAGTAATCTATTCACTAATTTAGTTTCTCTAGTTTGAGTAATTAATTACATTGCATATCTATAGTGCCAAATAAATAATATTGATTATTGTTCACCTGGTATTAAGTCCCTTTGTAAAAGGGTAAATGGAATGTATACGATTTACATCCAATGACTAATTTGGTATTCACCTGAGTAACAAGAAATGGTATTAAGATTAATCAAATTATAAACTGCTGAGTGCATAGAGCAATAAAAATACTGTACAATCGATTATATTTGTATTTTTTTTTTTTTTTTTTTTTTTTTTTGGTCAGCAGGATATTGGTGGTTTTAAAAAAAAAATCCCCAAATGAGTCCTCTTCACTAAAGAGAACATGTCCGATTATTTTCCTATTTTGCTAATAATAGTTTGCTAATAATTGTATTAGAGTTGCCTTAGCACAGGATGAGAAATCATTGCAGATAGAACATTTACTTCTGATTAAACAGATGGACAGAGATTTCAGTTTGCCCAGTCATTGTTAAAGGCGGTTATTCCTATATGACAATTTAAATCTTTTCAGAAAAAAATGACACTTTTTTTCTTTGCCAGAATTTTTTTTAAACTAGTGTATTCTGGAAAATCTAATGATCCTAATGTGAATAATCTTGGGTTTATATAATTGACTACAGCTAGTTTTTAATTAAAAATTATTTGCACACCTTTTTTCAATACAGTATAAAGAGGTGAATTTGGTTTGCTGTGATTTGGGGGGTCATATGTAGGGATGATAACTAAATATTCCATGAAATTTTTTGTGAATCCTAGTAGAGCCATAAATTTAGGGCAAAGGATTATTGCCCAAAAGCTTATCCTGGATGTGCTGCTTTTTTTACTGTTTCTAAAACGTTTCCCATGCAGTTGGAAAGAGATGAAACAATACCGTGTGACTTAGGTGGCCAAGCATACAAGAAGAATAGTGACTGGTTACAATGAACAACCCGTGAACAACCCATAGTCTGAAAATGACTCATTCAGCAGGTTATTTGGTGAATATTCAGGAACAATTAATCCAATTGAAGAAAATGAGCTCTGGCTTGTGAATGACTTTCTTACCCAATAAAGGAGAAGGCCAGATTTTTCTAACTGTAGGCACCCAAATAAGTGGTGTGGTGTGTTTTGCCTTTTTGTTTTGTTTTCTTCCCCCAGACATCCAGAGCATGTAAGCTCCCTACAGCCTTCTGTGAGGACTATGGGTGAAATCTGACGGGCAATGCAGCCCTCGTTGGCAAGATGCAAAGCACCCTGGTCTGCATCAACTAGACAAAGACTATAACCGCTATTAAAATCTATACTTAAATACAGGCACTTAATAAATGTCCACGTTGTCTTTAGGCAAGTCAGTTCCACTCCTCATTATGCCGCCCGAGAGCATCTTTATGAATGAACATAATGATGATAGCGTTACTGGCTGCTCATTTGGGCTTCTGGGACATTTGTCACAGGAGAGTAACTCATTTGCTCGTCATCAGAAGCTCACCCTGATCAGCGTTTTGCTGGGTTTTGTCCTGAGCTCTGATCTTCACGAACGTTACTAATATGTTAGTCAAGAGCAGAGGAGCACCTGGAAGCATGCATTGGCCAATAAGGTCCCTAGGCCCTCACATAGCTCATGTTTATGAGAGCAATATTGTCATGCTTGTATGTCTGAGCATGGTTGTGATGTGCTCCCATTAGTGACCTCTATTCTGGGTGGGTTAGTTGCTCAAGGCAGAGGCTTGATGCACAAATTTTTCTTCACAAACATTTTAAATGTTTCGAATTATAGGAAGGAGTACAATGCTGGCAGGGGGAACCTTAAAGCTCCATGTTCTAAAAATGTAGGGTCTAATTCTGTTCATGATTACACTAGTGTAAAATGCAAGGCAATTGAATGGGCTTCAGATGAGTCACGTTGATGTAATGGAAAGAATCCAGCCCAGTTTTCTTTAAACTCTTGTATAATTAAAAACGGCTTCTTTTTTTTTTTTCCAGTTTAAAATGATACTGTGCAGGCCCTTGGCTTCTCCCCACCCCCACAAAAAAGATTTAGATATGTGAAGGGATAAAAAACAAAAAGGGCAGTTAAAGCAGCCAGGATAAAATTACAAGGGTTATTTAATCTTCATGCTTCAAAGCATAAACTGATCAACAGCTGGGGTTAGATGACGTTTCCCCCACCCCATGTTAGAGTATTGCACAATTAGGTTCATGCTGCTGGTTTTATGCCTTCTGAAGCATCCATGCTGGGCCATTCTCTGAGACAGGATGCTGGGCTAGATGGACCATTGGTCACTTACAGGATGGTAATTCTTATGTTCATAATTCAGCTTTTGCTAGTTTGATGTTTTTAAAAGACCACAAGGGAAAATGCAGGCAACAAGATGAGCCCGTCAGAGCCACCTAGGATGCCTACTACTTAATTCACTTGGCTTCACTATTGTCACATTAATCACCAGTGACTAAATGTAGAAACTTCTCTTCCTGAAACTCTGAGTAGCTGGCAGTAGGTGTCTGCAACGTGCAGAGGCATATCCCTGCCTTTTTTTCTCCCCAAGAGAAATGTGCTAGATTTTTGGAGCAGCTGCCACCCACAAGAGACAGTTAGAGGGGAAAGTTCAGCCCCTGCTTTGGAGGAGTGCTTGGACCGTGTCAGCTGAATGCGCTGGGTTCTCTTGGCCTCAATTTTGGGATCACAGAAGCTGCTGTTGGCTAGAAGTCCTTTTCCAAGAAGGCTCACTGATGTCCCTGCTCATTGGAAAAGTTGTTTGGAGGTAATGAGTCAGAAAATGAGCATCACTCGTGACCATGACCTTTTCATGAAAATCTCCATACCATGTCAGACAGGTTGTGTGTTTCGCATTGGCCATCTCCTTGGTTGTCCTGAGACAAACATGCAACAGAGGCTCTTTATGATCATGAAACTCTGTATTTCCTTCTTCCTCTTTATATAGGGGTCTTGACAGGGCTGTTCTAGTACTTGCAGGGTAGATCTAACTGGGCTACAGCTGCGTTTTTATTTATCTAGGCTGTCTGTGAAGCAGGTGGTTTGGCTCTTAAAGTACCTGAGACCTTTCTCTTACAGAGTGCATATGGGTCCCTCTCTGAAGTGATGCAGAAGTGGAAAGAATATCAGCTCCAGTGCCTGAAGTATCTCTATGAGACGCCTCCTCTTGTGGCAGGTAATGCTTGGCAGGAATGGGATGTTTACTTTATAAAACATCTGCTAACTGGGGCAAGGAAACAAAGTCCTCCCTCTCCATAACTCCATTTCCATTCTCTCCAGCCCACTGATTGTGTTGCTTAAAAACCCACATTTTTGCATTGTTGCATCTGAAGCAGTGGGTTTTTTTACCCACGAAAGCTTATGCCCAAATAAATCCCTTAGTTTTTAAGGTGCCACCGGACTCCTCGTTGTTTTTGTGTGATAAAACCATTCATCTCTATGGCCCAAAGTATCTTGCAGTTCCAAGGCAGGCGGTATTGTCAGTGCAGCCTGCAGGATGAATGCCACCCATGGAGTTCTGCAATGTGCCCTGCAGCCTTTCATATGGAGGAGCAGCCCAAGGGAGACGATAGGTCCTAGCAAGGAGTGTTCTACAGGGATCTTCAAGGAGAGTTTTGTATTGGACATATAAGGCCATATTCCATTTACGCTCAGTCCCCTTAATATACACCCACTTTAAGGGCCCTTTATCTGTCAGAGTGGTATAAAGGGGCCTTAGTGTAATGAGAATGCAGTTCATGGTCTCTATAGGCTGAAATGTTCTGTTGAAGATAAGGGCAGCTGCAATCTGTTCAGTGTTATGCTTGGCAAATTGCTGGGACTTGCTGACAATGCAGCCCACAATTGGACACGCCGTGGGAGCTCCTAGAGTGCCTCTGTGCTACAGTAAAGCTCTGAAAAGGACCGCACGAGTCTCAAATTACATTTATAAAACACTGTTTTTAAAAATGTTATGCGTTTCCCCATAGCTGCCTCTGTTAGTTGTATTGCTACAATGGAGTGTATAGTGATAGCAGTAGTGGGAGGGAGACCTTCATCTCCCTTTGTTCCATTATGCTCAGAGTGATCACCTCCAAGACTGACGGTTCAATAAATGTGAAGCTGTAGCATTAGCACATTGAATAAGCTGTAATGCTGATCTATGGTAATTTGTGTGGGCATATCAGCAATGTATTAGTTTAGAATTCACAACATCATGACAGCAACCAGTTCTCAGGGAAATATTATATACAGCATCCATAACAAGCATATGAGCTGCTGAGAGAACCAACGTGAGAGACTGGGCTACACAAAGGCAGAGAGATGAGAAGGATACCTGGCACCGGAGCAGGATGGAAGCCTCTGGCTGCAGGTATTGTGGCACCACGGCATGAGATCTTTGCGATGTCACCTCCGCAATCATCCTGCCCATTTGTTCAGTCAGTGAAAGAGCCGCCTGGGAGGTTCAGTCCCTTCCCTTTATTCTTGTAAGGGGTGAGGATAAATGGTAAAATAAAACCAAACCTTTTACAGTTCTATGGTGCAGCTGCTTCACCTTCATTCCTCCTGTTTTCTGATGATTGCTCTTCATAGTGATCATGGTTCAAGGTCAATGCTTGATCCCATTCTCCATCTCTCTGCAGAAGGCAAGTTCTGCAGAAGGACATTGGATGACTATGCCTGCTGGCCTGATGGGCTACCTGGGACCTATGTGAACGTAAGCTGCCCTTGGTATCTTCCTTGGGCCAGCACAGGTAAGGGCCTGTCCTTTCTGGGCAAATCCAACCCCAAATGTGAGATGTTTGTCTCGCAGCAGCCTGTTAAACTTACACAGCCACTGCAGCTGAGACACTTAAAAGCTTCCAAAGAAGGATACTGATCCTAGTCCATCCTAGCTAATTACTTTGTCATTTTCCTTTTGCGGTAGGAGAGGAGGGTGGCATTATGCTCTGATTGGATCATGTGTGCCAATCAGTGTGTGGGTACCTGAATGGCAAGGAGCTAAGAATCAAGTAATATCTTATGCTAACCAGAACCAAATGTGATGCTTCTCAGATGCAAATCTAAAAACCTAGATAAAAGCTGTTAAGATGAAAGATAGAGCAACGTACAGTAGATAAATTGAAACTGGGGAGAAAGTGTTTTAATGTTCCTTCCTTCATTTTGCATTAATTTCTGGGATTCATTGCTCTCTGGTTTATTAGAATGTGGTCTGTGAAGAGGTTGTCACTGGGAAAATTCTGGCCTTAAAAATCTATGATGGGACCATTATGATTATGTTGTCTCATCTCCTGCATAACTCAGACCATGGAATTTTACCCAGCGATTCTCGTATTGTCCCCAATGAGTTGCAGAGCATATCTCTTTAGAAAGACCTCTAATTCTGATTTAAAGAGCCCAAATGTTGGAAATTTATCACCTTCCTCGATAGTCTGTTCGAATAATTAATTATCCTTTCTGTTGAATTAAGTACTGTAGGTAAGATACTAAAAAAAAATTCAGAATCTGTATGCCGTGGATTGTGGGGAAAGATGGCAGGGAGACTGTTACATCTCTCTGATTCTCTGTCTAGTTTTAAGCCAGCCCCAGTGGTATTTAGAGTAATTGGGGGATCTGCCTTAAACTCTCTGAATAGGTAAATTCCGACATGGCCATCTACCAGCTGGGAGTTGCAGGGTCATGGCTTGCGCACCTGCTTGTCCCTAGTGTATCCTACACTGGGGCTGCAAGGTGGTGATATAGGAGCTGGCTGCACTGCTATGCACCAGCTTGGGGGACTTCCTCACACTCTGGGGGAAATCCTCAGCTGGGGAGATACGACCAGATTCCATTCCATTAGCCTGAACAGCCCAGAGTCACAAATTATTTTTGTTGCCATGTAATGGGTTGCTGTGGCATACTTGCTCCTCACAAACAGCCTCCAGCATGATGTAAGTCACTCGTGTGTGTGTGTGTGTGTGTGTGTGTGTGTGTGCTGCAGCCAGCCACTCCTTGGTTCTTAGCAGTCATAAAAGTTATCAGAGGGTGACCCCAACACAGTCCCAGTGTCAGATTTCCTGCCCCCTCAGCCCCAGAAACACATGTCCTGTACTGCCCAGACTTCTTCTGGACAGTACGGATATGTTAAATCCGTTATTCCTTTAAGGGTATAATATGCGGTTACCCCAAAGGGAGTTACCCAGATATTTCAACTTGAACATACTCGATTGGATAAAACAATAAAACAAATTTATTAACTACAAAGAGACATTTTAAATGAGTACAAGTAATGAGGTGTAAATGTCAGAAATGGTTAGAAGAAAAATAAATTAGGCACCAAAGCATTTTCTCTTTAACAAATTACATTCGAAACAAAGCCAATTTTTTTCACCACATGCTTTCAGCAGTGTTACTGACCATATTCTTTGTCAGGACCCCCTCCCCCAGAGTCTAACACCTGCTTCCTTTGTCTCTTCAGGTGCAATGAATGTGATAGGCAGAGAGGGGGTTCCCTTGGGGTGTTTGTCCTTCCTTTTTATAGTGTCAGTTCCCCTCATAGAAAAACATTTCTAGCTCAGAACCAGGAGTCAGAGTCTATGTAGAAAGATATTCCCTGCTGGTGGTGGGTTTTTTTATTTTTCTTTTATTTTATTTTTTTCACCCGTTTGAACTTCCTTTGTGTTCCCTTCCTGCTTGATGATGACTCTGTTTACTGCTTAGATGCAAATTAAGCAGAGCATACATTCCTTTGTTTAGGACAGAGCTGTTTGCCAGCTTCTGTTTGGCCAGGGCAGTGGGGTTTGGAACATCAGAAAGGGGAATCTTATAACTTCATATACAATGTTGCCACATCTATTTTACCAGGACAATACTGATCAGCAAATTGAGTTTTCAGATGATACCTTAAAAGGCATACCTTATACCAAGATTATTACAGGAGAGAGATATTCTGTCACAGCTGCTCACTCCTTTTTCCCTTGCTGTCTGCAACGACCCTTACACTTTTCACATTACTCCTTTACCAGTACCTCGCTCACACTAAATATCCATGTTGGAGATAATTTTTTCCAAGATGTTTATTTTGCATTTGTCCAAGGTGAATATCATATTCTTACTCTGTCTATATCTCTGATTTCCCTACAGCACTTTTGTATTTCTCTGCTGTTGGTAGCAATTGTCAACTTAGTATCATTTGTGAATTAATATGCTGTTCGTTTATCCCCTCTAGATCATTAATAAAGATATTAAACCTTTCAAGCTATTTAAAGATTTTCTTTTACTAATGCACAGAATCAATGTTTACCTTCCAATTACCTGACCTAAAAGCCCTTCAGATGCTCCAGAACTCTTTCCAATAGCTCTAATCTTTTTGGATATCTAATAACCTACTTACAGGATTAAACTCCTTCCCTCCAGCAAACCCATTTATTTTCAATCTTTAAGACACTACGTGCAGTCATTTGATTGCTAACGACACTTGAAACCATCACTGCAAGAGAGAGAGTCAGAATTTAACACAATACTGTGGGGAATAAGTTGTCAGAATGTGCAATATCTTTCATATACTTTTGCAAATAAGTAAAAAATGAATTACTGTGAAAGAGTATTTGAGTGAAAATAATAGCAATGCTTTGGACTTCTATAGAGTATTGCACAGGAGGGTGGCAAAAGCCCTTAGACACAAATTAAGCCTCCCAATCTCCTTCCCTCTTCATTGCTGGTTATACCCCATATCATCCCCATTTGACATAAGGGAGTTGGGGGAAGGAAGGGGAACAAAGAAATAACACAAAAAGTTACTGTGAGAGCTGGAAATGTAACCTAGGAGTCTGAATTCCCATGGCCTGATTCATCACTGCACCCTATCCTAAGCACTGCCAAGTGGGGGTAAAATGCTGCCAGACTAGAAGGGTAGTGTGCTTATGCTTGTTTTTCCCTGGAGAAAAATGTTTCAAAAGATGCAGTGCAACAGTGAATTGGGCCTTCAATTCCCTCCTATAACCACTGAACCACACTCATTTTTTATCCTTACATAGCAATGCAGTCCCATAAATCCAAAATAGGCTCCAGCGCTTGTGGGTGTGGACCCCTAATTTTCTATTCTACACATGCTGAGAAGGGAGATAATAAAGTTACAAATGAGGCTTTGTTCAGGAAGTATCTCGAAAGGCTCTTTGGTGAGGTCTGATGTTATGGAGTGGGAAGTGCAACAGTTAAACATAGCTTGAGACGTGTGACCTTAAGCCATGTCTTCCCTAGAAATGCTGCTGTGGCACCGCTCTAGCGCTGCAGCTGTGCCCCTGTAGTGCTTCAGGGTAGACACTCACTACAGTGATGGGAGAGGTTTACCCGTCGCTATAGTTGATCCACCTTCCCAAGAGATGGTAGCTAGGTCGACAGAAGAATTCTTGCATCAACCCAGTGCTGTCTACACTGGAGGTAAGGTCCAGCTTAACTACATTGCTCAGGAGTGTGGATTTTTCACACCCCTGGGTTGAACTAACTTTTTAGTGTCGACCAGACCTTCAGAATATGCTTGACTTTATGCCTGGGGGTCATCCCATTGAGGGAGGTTCGGATAAGCAGGGCCGGCTTTAGCAGGTGCGGGGCCCCATGCCGGGACGCGAATTGTCTCGTGCCCCCGGCTCCGCCCCCCTCCCTGCTCCATTGGATCCCTCCACAAATCCCCGCCCCCATCCCCGCCCCGGCCTTGCGTCTTCCCCAAGCACGCCGCTTTCCTCCTCCGTCCCAGGCTTGCGCTGATCAGCTGTATGGCGGCACAAGTGCTGGAGGGAGGGGGGAGAAGCAGGACGCGGCTTTTTTTTTTTTTCCCCCCTCTCCGCCAGCAGCTCCGGACGTTGCGGGGCCCTCTTAGGCGTGGGGCCCCATTCCCGGGAATCGGCCGAATTGGCTTAAAGCCGGCCCTGAGGATAAGCCTACACTTAAAATGCTACAGCAGCACAGCTGTGGTGCTTCAGTGTAGATACTCACTACAAGGACAGAAGGGGTTCTCCTGTCACTGTAGTTAACCCCCAGTGTAGACAGTGGTAGGTCGAAGGAAGAATTCTTCCATCCTAACTACCACCTCTCAGGGAGGTGGGTTAAGTCAGTTTAACTAAGTCTTTCAGGGTGTGATTTTTTTCCCCCCCCACACCCTGTGAGTTGTAGTAATGCCGATGTAACTTTTCAAGTTTCGACCACCCCTTAAGAAGTAACTTCTCTTGTCAGCAGCTCAGTCAACTGCAGGATTTTTTGCATCTTCCTCTCAACATCTGCTATTGGCTACTGATCTGGTATAGCAATTCCTATGTTCCCAATTTGTGAAGTGAGGCTGTAGCCATTGCAGATGCGATGGAGAGTGTGAATGCTGCTCCTGCTGGGGATAGAACACAGAAAGCAAAGTAAATGGAAAAAAACTAGCAGTACTATTTGACCTGGATAGTTATCACATTAGGGCTCGGGATATATGTATTTTTTTCAAGTAATTGCTTAATATGATCATTTTGAGTTAAAAGGTAATCAGATTCCATTTAGCCAGTTACATTAACAAGCCTGAACTGGTGCCAGTTGGAGTAGAGGCCTGGAAAAAGACCCCACACTGTGAGTGCTTGCAGTGAGAGATTTTTGTAATGCAGGAACTCTTCTTATTCATACTGCAGACTTGGCCAGCTTTGTATTTGAGCAGCTACTCAGTCTTTCTCATTCACAGGTCCCATTCTCCGTCACTCTGTTCTGGTGGGCTATCAGTCTTAGCACCAGCCTGACTCATGGCTTT